CTTTGCAGAAGCTTTGCCGATCTCCTTCAGCATCAAGCCCGGGAGAGGTATCACGCCCGTGGTTTTTGGTAGGGCCTTCTTCGGCAAAAGGGACGGCTGAGGGGGAAACAGATCATGCTTGCGACTCGTGACATGCTCGGAGAGGCCCAAAGTTGCGCTCGGCCTCTTCGGGACCTTGCTGCTGCTGGCCATGTTCGGCGGGATCTGGCTCACAGCCAGGGGGGCGGCCCCTTTGCAGACCTGGATGTTGACAGAATTGGCACAGCCATCATGTCAGGATGCATCTTTTGACAGAGGGCTTGTAGGGCTTGTGCAAGCTGGCTACCCAATTCCTCCGGAGCTGTTCCGTTTTCCTCCTTTCTCAGCAAGCGCTTCGCAAGTGGACTTCAAGTCGACGTCAGACTAAGCTCAGGTGCCCCTGGATGTCGCTGCAGTTGCCCAAGCTGGCACAACCACAGCCCCACTTGCAGAAGTGGTCGTGGACAGTGTGGCGGCGAAGCCCGAAGGCGCATGCAGTGCTCCCATGTTGCATGTTCTGCGTACCCAGGCGAGCTGAAGAAAGTCTGCCTAGGTGAGACTTTGAGCTAGCACTTCCTGCTTCTACCACAACCAGCACTTAGAGATTCTTGGAGTTGTACTAGTTATACTCGGTTGGATGCCCTTGGAGCCTGAACAGACTCGAAGCTCTCAAACCTGAAATACGTAGCTAATCTGCAGGCAATAATGCCATAATTCCCAGATAGAAGCGTCGGCTGCCTCGAGGCGCAGTGCAGGTTCAGACCGAGCCTGACGAGGTCGGGGAACTGGTCTGAACTTAGCCGCGCGAAGTGCTGAAGCCCCAGTAGCTTTAGCCCAGCACCAAAGCCCTGAACTCTCTCCAAGTTTGTTCCAGGCTATTCAAGCCTGATGCGATTCAGAGCTTTGCGAACGCTAAAGAAACGCAGAAACTCCAAGCCCGAAGCCTGGGGCCCGAAATGCCTTCGGATGACTCCAAAAAGTTCGCTAAACCTTCTGGGCTTGCTTGGCTTCCGATCCCTTAGAGGTCATCGCCGAGCCAAAGAAGGCCAGCAAAGCGGAGGACGGGAGTTTTGAGTTCACCTGGATCAGTTCGATGAAAACCAGTTTGAGCTGCAAGGCCGCAGCCAGCTTGCTGTACCCTATGCTCAGAAAATGTTCTCTGGCAGCAAACGAGTGACCGAGTAGGGTCGAGCAGTTCACGGCACTCTGAGCCTTAGGAGTTTTCGGTGGAGTCATCCACAGCAGGATGCTAGCTTGTGAGCTGTTGCCAACGGAAGAGGGAACTTCGCTCCCCAACTTAGATGGGCGCACAGCTGCTGCACATTTATGTCGCTGAGCGTTTTGGTTGGTAGAGTCCATTTAGGGTTTGGAGCTCCTGCCCATCCATCCATCCCGCCTTTCCGGTACTCATACTATCACTTCAATACTTTATATAGCAGATAACATATGTGCAGTGCCATGCCCAAAGTTTTCAATATTATAGGGGACAAATTTACTCATACTTAGCACACAATCGACTCAATTTGGCTTCCTTGGCTCCAATGGCTGAATCTGCCAATACCGCAGGACCCCTCTCAAGCGATGTTTGCTGCGCTGCAGAGGGACAACAAGCGCCTGAGGCCCCTTCTGTTCTCACCGGCGGTCTTTAGCTAAGTCGTTCTGTCATTTCAGGCATCAGATCCTTTCAAGCTTCGTTTGTTAATCAAAAAGCACCCGGAGGGTTCCACGACCTAGGGGTTTAGAGCTTGGCCCAAGAGAGACCGCTGAGAAGAGGAACGCTGCCTAGGTTCAACTCGGGCTTGACCCTCTAAGCGTAGTTACATGATCCCTTAATGCGGTCCCTTATCTCTTTTAAAGGGTTCTGATGTATGGGCTCGTAATTTGTATAGGGTATACAAGGGGTATACAAGGGGTACCATTTTACGAGCCCATCCTAGGGGACCATGCAACTACCCTCAGAGACCCGAGTCTCAAGTTCTTTGAAAGATCTTGAGGCAGGACATTGCGAGCCTGCGCGGCGACGTGCAGGAGATGAAGACTCTGCTCAGGCTCACCGGGTACGCAAATTACTGCAGCAAAGCCACAAGATTATGGCAAGACTTGGGTGGTTGCTGGAGCTTTCATACCGGTGGTTCGTAGGTAACTCGTCACCAGTTTGCCGCAGATGTTTTGTCGAGGCCTTCAAAGCTCGAGCATGAAGAAGCGTAGACAGAGGTCTAGTCGTCGTTTAAGCTTGCATTAGCCTCTGAGATAGCACTGCCCTGAGTAAGCCCGTAGTCAGAGACTCATTTGCATTGAACCAGTACCGCCACGCCCGAGATACCATCGGTAAAGCTGCAAAAGCATGCGGCAGCTAACCTTTTCCCCTTAGCCGATATTGCCTCAACTTTACGTCTGTGACCAGACGGACCAAATTCAGCGGTTGCAGCTTCAAGATGCACTCGGCCGCTCTCGCCGTGTATGCTCCAATGTACGTCACTTTCATGCATCATGCTTACGGGAGAGTGGCGACAACGTATCTCAGTGACAGTATTTCCGTACAGTCTCGAATAGAGCCACAGCCTGTTCTTCAGCCCTTCAGCCGCTCTCTTTTTCTCTTTCAGCCATCACTCAATCTAGGCACCGAAAACCCAAAGCCCTCAACTACTCAGCCCCCCAACCCCCCCCCCCCTCTCTGTAAAGAGAGCGTGGCTCTTTCGGCCGCTTTTTGTGCAGGGGCGCTTTCGCGACCGGTGCCGAGGCCTCTCGGGAGCGGCCCGCGGAGGCCTCATTTCTTACGGAGCGAGGGAGGGAGGGAGAGAGAGAGAGGGAAGGTGCTTTTGGAATGTGTTGCTTGCGTTTGTTTGTTTGGTGGGGGGTGGCGGGGCGACAGTTGGCATTGGCCAGGCGTCTTGTTTTTGTAGTTGGATGATTTCAGGCTTCTTTGCCCAGAGCGACGTCAATTATCCTGAGGGTCGAACAGGTTTCGGGTTCCCAAGCGGCCTTGTCTGGCCTGCACAGTTCAGACCTTGAAGCAAGAGGCGGTTTCGGGTTCAGGGGAGTCGGCCCCTAGGCCATCTTCCGAAAAGCACGGCAGAAGCCTGCGCAATCCCCGACAAGACCCAGCCACGTTTAACCCTTTCGAGCCCTCAAATGCCGGGGCTCCAAGCCTGTACAGCGCAACCATCAAAGTCTGCACTTTCACTTTAGAGGTTTCGGTTCTGGGGCTCTTGACAACATGGTTCCTTCAGGCTTGAGCCGCAAGTCGGCAGTTCCGGAGTTCAGGGCTTCGAGGGGCAAACCCCGACTCTTGAAGAGCCCGCTCTCGTGTGCCAGCCGACGTCCGCGCCCGTTGCTGCAGCACGGCCTACGGAGGAGCCGAAGCCGGTCCCCGTGGGGACCCTAAGGGATAGGGTTTAGGGGGCGGGCTGTTTTGTGTTTTTTTTTTGCGTTGGGGCGCTGGATCTGATATGTGGGTTTGCTTGTACAGCCTTTGCAAGTGAAAAAGATGATGGACATCCGGAGCTGCCATCGAATTTTTGACAGCGTGCTGCCTCAGTGTATCTGAGTGCTGGAACTCGGGGTGAGGTTCTAAAGCAACTGAACCACTGAGCCATCTCGCAGATCCCATAGTTCTTCCGTGAAACCTTCGGGTACACAACCTTCAGGACAGGTGGTAGGTCTTTCCGCCTTTCCCGTGCTCAGGCCACAGCCGCTCCAGTCGTCGAAGAAGGTGCGGGGTTGGACGAAGGTTGTTCCACGAAGCGGGTGAACCCTTGGGGCTTGCAGGAATCCTGCTTCATTGCATAAGAGGAGTGTGTGTGTGTAGGTTCCTATTGGGGCCTGGAGTTTTGCTATTCTTGATCTTCCGAGGGGCTGCATTGAGATTCTGCACGTGAAGGTGGCGCCCTTGGCCATAGCGTGAAGCATCAGGAAACTCCAGAACATCAGGTTCCTTTCTCTCATGCGCATGCTTATCGGCACATCCGGCCCTACTAGAAGTGGCCCACAGGGCTGCATCCGGCCTCACGGAAGCTACACGCCGATTGACAGCAGCCCACCTTGATATTCTCAAAGACCTTCTCAAAAGAACTCGCTCGTTCGTCTCTGGTCTGGCTGGACAATGCAGTCCTTTCCATTGTTGTAGCGCAAGCGGCTCCTGATAGAAAGCTTTGGCAACACATTCATAAGCCCAAGTGATTGTGCTACATATCGTTACCTTCGAGCACGCATGATTTTGACGTGCTTTTAGTTTGGCTGGATCCCGTTGGCCTCAAACCGATGGTTTCAATCGGTTCTGGTGGTTTGCCAACTTGCAATTTTCGCAGGGAAAGGAAATATGAAAACAGTACACCATGTGATGAATACGCCAGATGCTGCCGCAGGAGACAACGACCCCGGCGAGATCCGCATCGCACCTCGCCTTGCATGCCAGATTCTAATTGCGCTTGCAGCGCATCCGGTCGCTTTCTTTATCCTGGAACCCTAACCTTCACCACAGCCTCTTAGCACCCCGTCTTCAGGATGCCACCGTCAAGAGCGGTTTTGTCCACGCTTGAGGTGTGTAGCCAGAGTATGCCGAAGCCTAAGCTGCCCTTCGCGGCCGAAGCTTGAATGCCAGGTTGGCAACCCCAAACAACTGCTTTTTCCAGTCATGAAGCATGCAGACACCAAGGAGACCCCGCGCTGACCTGGACAAGGCTGCAGGGGGGGTTGGCAACATGCGACCAAGAAGCAATGCGCAAAGCTTCGCATCCTGAAGCCGCAAGAATCGCACTCTGCTTTCTTTGTGTGTTTTGTGAGGTGCCATAGTGCCGTGTCTTCCCTTTTGCGCGGTTGTTTGCAATGCTCGGCTCCGGTGCTAGGCATGTCTACAGAGCTTCAGATATGACGGCAGGGAATAAGAGGGTGTGCTGTCCCTCCGACAGAAATCCAGATCAAAGTAGCAGTAGTGGCCATCTTCCTGGCGAGTTTGGGGATTTACGCTGGCCTCTCTTTGGCCCATGGCGCTGCCCGGAGAGTCCAGGGAGACTCCAAGTGCCTCCAGGCAGCTGTCGAATGAGCTGGCGCGGAGGCCTTCTTCCGAAGCAGGTCTGTGGGCTGAAATTTAAGGTTTAGGGTTTATTTGGTTTAGGGAATAGTGCTTGCAGGCGGTGCATCGAAGCAGGTTGTATGCCCCAAACAATGCTTGCACTATGGGGTTCCTATGTTAGGAGGAGTGCGCGTGTGTGCGCACGGGGCCTCGAAATCGATGACCTCCCAATCTTTCCTGTGGGCCTGGATGGTTTTCGCCCAGGCGCTGCGCGTATTGCGAATCGCGATGACCCTCCTGGTGTTTCCGTGTGCCCGCGTCGCTGTCGCTTAGGTGCCGTGAGCTCAAACGTTTATGGCATCCAAAAATTCCAAACAGGGTCACGAAAATGGGTCAGAGATGCACATTCCTGCTTTTGGGAACTCTCACCCCGGTCCCGTGTGCCTCGTAAAGTGCAGACCCATCCTTGCTTGTGGGCCCTGTGCGAAAACGCTTTTTGAGTGTCCTTGGGATGTTTTGTTGTCATCCGGAGTGGTCTTGGAGTGCTCTCGGAGCGGTCTTGGCATGCTCTTGCAGTGTTGTCGCGATTTTTTCGGACTGCTTTTGAAGCGGTCTTACACATTTTGGGGTCTATGCTGGCATACGAATGCTATCAAATAGTCAGCTCGCCCACGCGCAGATTTGTCAGCAGTTAGCGGAATGTGCCTTTGGAACTGGGCTGAGAGGTGAAGAGGTGGACCGCATTGCGAGCCAGGCTCGGCAAGTCATCGCGGAGAGCCGAAGGCTGTTAGATACACAGTCTTCGCACAGCGGTTTTGGTTCGCTGGCCAGCGACCGCAGCGACCGCACTTTGCCGAGTTCCGTGCGTCCTCCTGTGAACTCGGTGAACTCAGCGCGAGAGGCCCAGTCGGAGGAGCAAGAGCGACGGCGCCGACAGGATCGTGAAGCAGAGCGCGCAGCCTTGGAGCTTGAGAAGCGCTTCGACGAGGACCTGCGGAAGCAGAAGTTGGCCACCCGTCAGGCCGAGGCGCTCCTAAGCGAATGCCAGGCAGAGCTGGAGAGGCGCAGGGGGGACACGCCGGCTGCAGGCTCCAGGAGCCCTGCAGAAATCAGGGAGGAGGCAGCGCAGCTGCGCCAGGCGGCCAAGAAGGCCGAGGAGTCTGCACGGCAGCAAGCGAGTGAGCAGCGGGAGGTGCGGCAAAGACTGCAGCAGCTCATCGATGCTGCTAAAGCTGAGGTGTCTGAGGCAGTACAGCAGCGAGCCGATGCCATCAAGGAGAAGCAGGCGTCCATGCGCCGGCAACAGAAGCAGCTACAGAAGGTTCAGGCCACGTGCGTGGAACTGTCTCAGCAGATCAAGGAGAAGAAGCGTCTTTGTGAAGAGACCGACAGGCAGACGAAGTCGGCTGGAGTGTCCATTACCAGGTCCAGGCGAGAAGCCACAGAAGTCGCAGCGCTCGCCAGCGCTCTTCAGAGCCGGCTGGATGTAGAGGAGACAGAGACGGTCGAGACGATCGAGACCTTGGAGAGTGGGGAAGGCTCCCGGTGCGACACTGGCGCCACTGGTTCAGACAACAGCCTGCGTAAGCTGGAGGAGACGGCGCTCTCGGCCAAGGTGGTTGGCACGCAAAACCGTTGCCGGAGCTTGGAGCAGCAAGCGCTTGCAAGCGCCTCCAGGGCAGAGGAGCTCTCTGCCCTCGTGGAACTTTATCAGCTCCGGCTATCGCAGCCAGGCGACGCTGGTGTTGCAGGTGATGCTGGTGCACCGAAAGAGCTTCATGCTGCCCAGGAGGAGCATGCCGAGTTGAAGGAGGCACATCGTCAGGCTTTGGCACAGCTGAATGGTCAGCACTTGCAGAAACTGGTGACTTCCCTTACAGAGCCCATTCGCACTTCCAGGACTGAGAGCACGCCCTCACCGAGCCCAGCTGGGTTGTCGGAGGCTGCGCAAAAGATCGTAAGCTGCGAAGCCGAGCACCTACGCGAGCTGTGCCTCGTGGAGCAGCGAGTCGCCGAACACGAGCTGTCTCAGTACGAGGCATTTCTTGCTGGACCGGAGGCTGGTAAGGCGAGTAGCTCTGTGGGCACACTCCAAGAGTTGCAAGGCAGAGGGAAGCTGAGGGCTGCACGGCTGATCCACGACTCTTTGCATCAGCTAGGCAGTCGCCTGGAGCATGTCATGCAGGGAGAGGTCGCTGGCTTGGACCTCTCGGGCAAGATCGGCCCTGTGCTTGTGGAACGTCTCAACGGCAGCATCCGCAAGGGCATCGAGGTGGCCAAGGAGGAGTTGCAGTGCCGGCGTTCCGAGCTTTCCGAGCTTACTGCCCAAGGCGAGCCGGGTGCCCTGGGAACGCAGCATGCGCAGCTCCGCGAAATGCTCGACGAAGCGCGGGCATCTTGCCAGGGCCAGACTGAGCTCTGTGCGCAGCTGCGCTCCTCTGTGGCGGCCCTCGAGGCCGAGGCTGCCGCCCAGATGCAACAGCGTGAGGAGGAGCTGGGCCGTGGGGCGGCGCTGCGCACCCGGCTGGAGGAGGCATTGCGTGCAGAGGCAGCCATGGGTATGGAGCTGTGCTCCAAACTTGAGGAGGAGTGCCGTGAGTTGAGAGTGTCGGCACAGGGCCTAGAGCTGTCATCCAGCCACGAGACCCAGGCGTGCGAGTTGCTTCGAGAGGAGCTTAACGCCAAGGAGGAGGCGGCCGAGCAGCTCGCAGCGAGGGTGGCTGGATTCGAGCACGCGGATGCCGAGTTGGAGCAACGGCGGCAGGGTCTCCAGTCCCGCATGGCTGCAGTGTCCAAGGCGCTGGACTTCAAGACTGCCCAGGCGAAGAAGGTCCACGAGGAAGCGCAGGCGTGCTGCAAGGCTCGGGCCCAGGCGGTGGTGGCCACAGAGGCGGAGCGCATGGCGCTGCACGCCGCGTTGGCCAACCTGGAGGCCGAGAAGCAGGCGTCGTTGTCCCAGGAGCGACTGCTGGATCGCAGTCCTCCTTCGTCCACGGCACAAGCCGCTGGTGTACAGTAGCACCCGCACGACGGTGTGCACTCGTTAACGCTAGTTGAACCGCTGGTTCAAGATCAGAAAGACACGGCGAATCATGCTTCGTGTTCATGCTGTTGCTGCTGTTGCTGCTGCTGCTGCTGCGGGAAAGACTCCAAGGTGCTGACAGCAAAATTAAAAGCCTCGGAAGCTTTTGGGGGCTCATGCACTCTCTTGGCAGGGTGCTGGAGCCCCACTCTGCAGTGAGGCTTTCCCGTTGCACTGAGCCCCAACGAGAACCACCAGTGTGGGACCTTCGAGACCCAATGGTTTCATGTTTTGTGACAGAAGCCAAGGTTTTCAACGATGAGCTTCAGGCTTCAGGGCTAGTAGATTGAGGTAGATTCTTTAGAGCAGGGGGCCAGGGGGTCTGGAAGGTATGGCATGGCGCGGACACACTCGGGGGCCACGGACAGGAAAGCGCTGGAAAATGTGCGGCACACGCAGCAGGTCCTACCTTCCCGATGATGCTCACAGCTAGGTCTAGCTAGGTCTAGACCCAGCTCTAAATGTGCTCAGGCTGGAAACTGCAACTATCGGCCGAAAGACCCAAGTCCCAGAACCCTCAAAACGAGTCCTGTGCTCTGGAGCCACTGCAGCGCGATGCGGGACATATGATAGTATACGATGCGCTCTAGCAAGCTCCTACCGAGGTGATGATCTGCCTCGACAATTCGGACTTTACAAGGCTGTCTCTCAATCTGTACAAAGGTTCATTGTTTCAGGGCCTTCAGGGGGCTTCGAACAAATTGTTTAGACTTCGATGAGCTTATGGCTTGCGATGGCCAGCCTTAACACCAAGCATTCAGACATCACCGACATCCGCCGACATACCTTGTCATCATATTGCCATTGCAAAAGCCTGAACTGCTCCTGAATCCGAAGCCTATAGGTAGATCGGAGGCCACTGTACATTGGAGCCATATCCCAAGATCGCCCAAACTCCACAGCCAAACAAATGCCTCGCAGGAATGGTGATTACATGCCCACACGCTTCGACTCGCAAACTGATGCAGCCAACCTTTTGTGTGGCGCAAAGTGCGGCCGGCGAGCTTAGTCCTGTCCAAGATTTTAGGATGAAGGGTTAGGTGACGGAATTCTTCATGTGCTTCCTGTTAGTTGTGGGGAGCGCCTGCACCTTCCTGAGCAGCTGCGCCAGTGCTCCAACTTTGCTTCGGGGTCAGTTAGAAGAGCGCTTTAGGTGCAGTCCAGAGCAAGCCCTGAACCTCAATCCGTGGCCAGTGCCAGGACCAATCAGAACCCAGAGAATGCTGTTGGCATCCTGGCGAGCGCCGGAGACCGGATCGAGGCAAGGTCTAGGGTTCAGGGAGCTCGTCTGCACAAACCGGACTCCCAAATCCTGAGAGCATCTGTTTGAGGGTCGGTTTCCAGGGTTATGAAAGGACAGTGTCTGTTTATTTGTGCGTTTTTGGGGTTTAGTTTGTCTTTAAGCATTGCAGAGCTGTAGGGGCTGAGCGTTGGTTCAGCCTATGCAGCCGCAACGCCCATCCAGGTCATGGTGACCCCAACAGCAGATTTGGGAAGACTGGCCGGGAGCCGTAGTTTTCCCGAAAGTCGGATCCGGCTGGTGAGGCTAAGTCCTAAGCCCAAAGCCGGCGTTTTGTAGATTCTCGTTCCAGCAGCTTTGACGGTCCCACTTTCTCACCACCTTTACTGCCCCCCTGAAGTTGTGAAACGTTCAAAGACGTGAACTTAGCGTTTGGCCGTGCAGCTTTCGTCCTGGTTTGCATTGTTTTTTCGGCGTTGTCAGCGTTTTCACACTCTTTCGCGACTCATGGATGGCATTCACTAGCCGCTGAACGACTACAAGTCCTGTTCCACCACCGCCCTCTCCAAGGTGACTGAGCTGAACAGAGTTCAGATAGGCAGGTCCTTGTGCAGGGCATCAGAGTTCCGGTAGAAGTCTGCGCAGCCTAGCTGCCACGCAAGAGGGGCAGGGCTGACTTCAGTTCACCTTGCCTTTTCATAGCATGCGAGTCTGACAGGTGGCAATTCCGATCTTCTCCGCGCCATTCAGACGGCGCAGTTAGCAGGGGACTTGGGCGGCCACAGGGGATGTTCCCAATTCTGGGTCGGCCCATGTCAGGACCGAGGACTCGAAGGTGTGTTGTGTGCGGGTTTAAGGCCTCAGCATTTAAAGCCTAAACCCGAAGCCCTAAGCTCCAAGCCCTAAGCCCTAAGCCCTAAGCCCTAAGCCCTAAGCCCTAAGCCCTAAGCCCCAAGCCCTGAACCCTAAACCCGAAACCCCCACTGAGATCTTCGCAGGATGGGCTGGCAGCATGTGCTTTCGACCGCTTTCCCTGCATCGTGATGATTTGTCCTTGTGATAACTATCTCGCATATGAGAATTTATGTGCTCGGCGTGTGCCGAGGCCCTGAAGCACAGGCAAAACAAAAAGCAGAAGCAAAGGCCAGGCTTTACAGTTACAGGGCTTTGCAGAGGTTTTGCGGGGCTTTCCAAGGACTTTCCGGTGAACGGTGGTCGAGTATTGGGACATATTTGGACTTGTGCCGTCTTTCTGTTGATGTGGCTCCAGTGTTCTACTCGAGAGCCATAGTTCAAGTCGCTAGCTCCTCTCGCTACCTTAGACCATCGGTCTCGCAAGGCATCTTGAGGCCGTGGGCTTCGTTAAAACCGTTCAGAAGGTTGGGCAACAGAGGCCCCCACAATTTGTGACCCAAAGCACCCCGCTCTGCGACACGGCTTTACGCAAGCGCACAACAGTGCATTCAAGACTTGCAGGATTATCGCCTTTGTCGGCAGTCCGGTAACTGCGACAGAGAAGGCCTATCCGACCCACCACGCTTTGTCTCAATTGCGCTGTTGTTCTTGTGCGTCTTTTTGGGAGTTTCACTTGTCCCGCCTTGACAACGCGCTGCTCATCATCATCATCATCATCATCACCATCATCATCACCATCACCATCACCATCACCATCACCACATCATAGCTCAAGAGAGATAAGTGGGCTTCGAAGGGTGAGTTTGTCTTTTCGCAGGGCATGCAGACAAGGGGACCTCCGAGTTAGGCCGTTGACCAATTTGAGAAGAGTTGCTTTCTCTCCATGTTGCTTTCAAGGGCATCATGTTGCAACGATGGTGTACGATACACTGTTGACTCTGCCATCACGCGCTGAGAAGGTGCAGCCTCAAGCAGTTATAGGCTGAGAAGCCACATCTGCAACGCTCTTCTGCATCTACATTCTGCTGTATTCAATGCTTACGACCGCCAGTCGCGCTCAGGGTTCGGATGTAGGAGGATTATCGGTTTCCAAAGATGTCCTAGTTTCCAAGGAAGAGTTAAGCACCAGAGCATGCCTTCTGACAGAAAGGAGCTGGAAACATTGGGCAAGAATCTGAAGAAGAACAGCCTCCAAGCTGCATCGAGCTGCATCTGCGACTCAAGGCTGTGAGCATATCTAATGTCCAGAAGTTCAGCCTTCGAGCGAGTAAGTTTCCAAAATAGCAAAGACTCCAGACGCTTTAGCCGTGCCTACAGGACCCTCTGACTGTCAGCGTGTTCCCCGTTTCACGGGCAATGTCTGGGGTACAGAACTGATGAAGGCCATCATAGGCGCAAAGACCGGGAGTTGATGGTCCTTGGTGCCTGAGTTAGAGCGCATGGAAACTTGGGCTTCAGGGTTTAGGCTGGTAGTCGGCAGTGATGTCAGGAGCCTGACGGCTTCGGAGCTTCATTCTCGGGTTTTATGGAGAGACTCCACCAATTTTCAGTCATTCAGGGTTTAGTTTGGGAACTTGGGGTATTGGGGCTCGGGTTTCGGTTTGAGGTCGGGCTTTGTAGAAGTAGAAGGATTCATGGCTCGGTGGTCGGCAAGGCTTCGGTGCAGAGTGCCCAGGCGTAGCCTTAGACCTTGTGAGCTTCGGCGAGGTGGAGGAGAATGCCTGGGGCCCTGGCTGAGGATCTATAATGTATGGCAATAGATGGTTGACCTAACGGATTCAAGTGCGACTAGCTTCGCGCTCGTGGTGGAGATGCCTTCGCTTTGCAGAAAATGCAGCGAGGGTCATGTTTTTCGGCTGTTTCGTGTTTTCCGTTCGTGGCCAAACCTTGTTTCCAGTCAGCTCTACACAGCGCAGGACAAACGCACACAGCCAATGCGACGTAGGAGTCATCAGAAGTCCTAGCTTGCTAGCAAGCTAAATGTAATACAATGCACCTCCAAACCCCTACTTGAGCCTGAAAGCTCGGCAAAACGCAAGCGAGTGTGAGATGTTTGGAAGCTCACAAGGGTTCTGGCGACTAGGGCTGAAAACGTTGCGTTTGGGGGTTCTTACTACTGTAGAAGAAGAAATCAGATTTCGATCGCAAAATGCAAAGCGCTCCTGCCTGGGTTGTCAATGGCAATGAACGCGAAATCTAACGCCTAATTCCTGCTGACATGAAAACAAGGAAACAAAACCATCAGAATCGCCATCTTCACAACCTTACAGTCACCTGAGCACTTCCTGCAGCAATGAACCCGTTGGGTACTAGTCCTGAGCCCAAGTTCCCAATTTCCCTCTAAGCTTCGCATCTGGAAAACTCTGCAAAATTCCCGCAGATATGGTTGACTTGTCATTCGTGCATCAAGGATTTTGGGCTTTACGGACTGCCAAGGCGCCAAAGTTGGAGAAGCTGATGAATGCCCTGAATAGCCAGGATACATCGCATCTGCCAGGCTCTCAGGTCTTAGGATGTAAGCAAAGGCCAGGTCGGTGGTCTTTTGGCTGGGGCCAGGGCTTTTGCTTTGCCGGAGTTTACTTTGCTCCAACCCTGGCTGCGAAGTCCCCTCCAACCCAGCGCCGGAAGTGCCCTTAGCCCTTGCTTCCTCAATGTGCAGGCTCGCAGGAATGTCCAAATGGGTCATGAAGGACAAATGTAACCACGAGCACCAAGCCAGAATAGAGCCTGTGCCGACGCAAAGTCCACAGTAAGTCTGAACCTCACCTAAACGAACCCCAAGCAGTCAGTCCCTAATCCCAAAGCCTCCGAAGAGCCGAAACCCTAAACCCTCCCAAACCTTAAATTACAAGCCCCAACCCGGATACCTTTCAGCGCCCTTAAACGGCAGGTTGGAGGCCCCTGTGGGACCCAAGCTCCTCAGCGATATCCTCCTGTCCTCGGCCATCGTCAACCCTGATGGGGAGGCCCGCAGAGTTGGGTTCGGGGTGGTTTTCTGGCTGTTAGTGGCTTCTGGTAGCAAGTTGAAACACTCTTGTGACTTAGGTGGGCAGTATTCGTAGCAACGAGTCCCCGATCCGGGTCCCGGGCAATAGTACTCGTAGTACTCGTTGTATTAGTAGTGATAGTAGTATTCGTAGTAATAGTAGTCATAGTAGTCATAGTAGTCATAGCAGTCATAGTAGTCATAGCAGTCATAGTAGTCATAGTAGTCATGGTAGTTGTAGTAGTCATAGAAGTCGTAGAAGTCACAGTCATAGCAGTCTTAGCAGTCATAGTAGGAATCGTAGTGACCGTAGTCATCGTCGTGTAGGTAGTGTTCTTAGTAGTCGTAGTAATCGTAGCAACATAGTTGTAGTAAGCAGGGAATCATCATCATTGTGATGATTGTTTTCCGTATTAAAAATTTCTATTATAACTCCATCTACATACATTCGGACATGATTGTGGATGGCTCCTGCAACCTAAGCCCTCCGACGGTAGCCGAGACTGACATGATCTGCTCAGGGCTTGCAAAAGGCAGGATGTCCAGCTCCATCAAAGTTAATCTGAGAGGGGGGCGAGGAGGATGGCCGATGCTTAGGATGCCATGCATATCGCATGCGCATGCCACACCTCGAACTAGGGACAAGGCAAGGCTTCCTAGCAGCTGCTAAACCGAGTTGCGGCCTTTCGGCCTGCGAGCTCCCCACAGTGCTTGCAGGCCGCCATGGGCGGAGAGGGTGGTGAAGCCGGCTTTGAGTTTGGCATCAATCCGAACGATGATCCGGAGCTCTGGGCTGCTCTGGGCTCTCCTTTGTTTGGCCAAAAGGCTTTCGGACGTAGGGAGGGATTTGAAATTTGTGCGAGAACAGACACGAAAGAATGTCCGGGAAGTCTTTGACACTTTGCCCTCGCACCTGAAAGCCCGAGGCCCCAAACCTGATTTGAGCTACCTGACACATCCTGGCACAGTCGAGATCTGAGTCCTGTGAGGGTGAACCCGTTGCGCAGCAATAGGAGCTTGCTCTTGCGCTCCGCATCTCCATGGAAGAGGAGAGGGCCAGGCAAGGGCGACTATTGCAGTAAAACAGTCTGCCTAGGTTTCGTACCAAACATTAGCACTCCTTGGGTTTTGCGATGTGAACGTGGCAGCATCTTAACCACTTTGATTTGAAATTTCGGGCTTTAATGGTGGTACTCGGGGGTCTGCTGCATTCAGCTTGACTCTCGTCAGCACCTTCCAACTTCCAAGAGCATGCGTGAAGGATTCGGCGGCCTTTCGAGATTGACCTGGGACCTCGAATCGAAATCCTTTTTGTAAAAACCCTTTCAGGTCCTGAACCCAAGGCAGCCTCGCAAACCCATCTCTCCCAAACGTTTGGATTCCCCCAGTGTATCAAAGGACCTGATAAACAGCTTCAAGCCTAAACTCTGCCAACGCTATGCCATAAGCCATAAGCGGCCCCGAGGCAACAGGCCGCGGGAGGTGAGGCCCCAGCGGGTGAGGCCCCGGCAAGTGGGCAGGCGCCAGCCGTGCCGGGCTCGGGGAAGCTGAAGTGGGGGCAGGGGGTGCTTGGAGCTTTAGGAATCCCTAACCTTTCTCTCCATCATCCCTAAGCCCCTGAGCTACACAACTCCCAAGATTCAGAGACTTTTTGGCTTTGGGAGGTTGCTTCAGTCAAGTCCATGGACAATTTTTGGGCAACCCCCAGACACAGATCGGTTCATTTTTTGGGGGAGCTGGGCCACAAGGCTGCAGCAGCCACAGCGCCTGCGCCAGCTGCCGGGGACCGGGGGGTGGGTGAGTGGGAGAGGGTGTGGGTGTTCAGTCTGCAGATCCAGCTCCGTGTATGTTGGTCCTTGAGGAGACGGCACCAGCAGCATCACTGCCTGTGGTCACCCTGGCGCCGGATTGTGATAGTGGGTCCGGGTTACAAGAGTGGGCGGTTTTGGGTGTTCATGTTTTGCGTGCTTGAGTTTGGGCTGCCTTGTGTCCCGCAGTCATCAAGCCCTATCAGCAGTTTCGTATCGGAAGTGCACCAGCCAGGCTCCAGATGCGGCTGTCATGGAAGCCATGGGCTGCTTGGCTTCGAGAGGGTTTTTCGTGAAGAGCCTGGCCGTTCGGGGTCCAAGGTTTAGAGCAGCCCCTGTACTCATCTACGTACTTATCCCGATGTGCGTGCTTGTGACTAGGGTTCTTGAAGACATCAGAGTTTTGAGGCTTCACGCGCACCCGGTTCCTTCCCACACCGCCAGGCATGGAGGACATGGACGATGAGCTGCGGCAGGCTCTCCTCCTTTCCATGCAAGAGCCAGGGCCCTAGCCGTTGAGTCCACATGAATGAAGTAAACATCGGTCTTATTCGCGTGCCGTCAAGTTTTATGCACAGAGTTCAATCGAACGACAACAAATTTCAACTTCAGCGAAACACAAATCCAGATCATGTTGCCCTGCACACACACAAGCGGCGTGAAGTGCTGAACAGTGTTTCCGCCCTCGCCGCTTTTTTTGCACTATGAGGGCAGTTCACGTGGAGGCAAGCAGGCGGACCCAGTACGATTTTGTGAGAGTTAGACGTGGTAGACTCAAAGTTTCACAAACCCACTCCGTTTCTGCCCCACTCTTCGCCAAAGTTCCGGGTAGCCACCTGCGAGTCGTGTATTCAGCCGACCATCACAATACAGCAACAGCCTCAAGAACCAACAAATCAGATGTCATCAGCACATACGCTGAGCTGACAAATCTGTTCAAAGCAACTCTTTTAGATTGAAGGTCATGACGCTGGGCAGCACGCTTTTAGAATAGTTTCCGGCATACAGTTGTGCAGTTATGTATCGGCTGAAAGACACAGGCTTCATGCGGGAGGGGTCATGGCTTAGGTGGCACCAGCACAAAACAAACTTGGGCGCAGAACCCTAAACCCAAAAACCCAAAAACCCAAAACACTAAACCCTAAACCCTAAACCCTAAACCCTAAACCCTAAACCCTAAACCCTAAACCCTAAACCCTAAACCCTCCTAAGCCCCGTTGCGCTTTCACAGGATGGAGCCAGGGTCGGCGGCCCCTGCGACGGCCCCGGCAGCGACAGCTCCGGCTTCCACTCCGCCAGCGGCCCCCACTGGGACACAGGCTTTCAAGGGTTTAGGGTCTAGGGTTTAGGGCTAGGGTTTAGGGTTTAGGGTTTAAGGTTTAGGGTTTCGGGTTTAGGGTTTCGGGTTTAGGGTTTAGGGTTTAGAGTAGGGTTTTTTGTGTTTTAGAGGAGTTTAGGATCTGGCGCTGGGATCAAAAGCCAGACACTTGCAACGACAGGCTCCTGCCGGCGCCGCAATGGAAGGTGCCTTGCATTTAAGGTTTGGGTGGTCGCCTGTAGCTGTTTACGGTTAGGCAGACCGTCTTAGCTCCTACGAGCCGCCGAGAGTTCAAACCTGACGGTTCATCAAGGTCACACTGCAGCAAGGGCTCCGGGTTGGGAGGTTCAGGTTTTGGGATTGGGTTGAGGGCCGATGGGGTGCTTTGGGGAGGAGGTCGGTTTAGATTGACTGGTCATGGCCCCCATCGGTCAGACCATTGTAGTTGTTCGCGACGACGTGCAAGGTTTCGAGGAGGCAATGGAGTGAGGTTCCACATATGCGTATGCGGGCGCGTGACAAATCCAACTTTGTCGAAACCCCAACCCCCTTGGCCCGATCTCTGAAGCCCTGGCACCCTCCAGTGCTTGGAGATGGCTGTTCATCATCGGTCACGCAGCATCGTCTTGTGAGGGTTCGTTTTCGAGGCTCTGGATTGGATTCAGAACGAAGAGTAGGTTCCATACTGATGTAAGATTCTGGGAAGGCTGCCAACGCTCCAAAACCCTTCGAACCTAAGCCCTTGAAGCCAAGCTGCTGAGAACCCAGTGCTCTTAGTGCAGGCGGTTTAGGTTCACAGCGTTGGGTGCGGCAACGGCAGGCATGGAGGACATGGACGATGAGCTGCGGCAGGCCCTTCTCCTCTCCATGCAGGAGTTGTGGCCCTAGCTGTCGAACTTGAGAGCTTGAGCTTGGGGAGCTTTTCTGTTTTTGAAACGCACTTTACAAGGATCAGCAGCTGTAATTACATGAGTAAGGCTCTTCTGAGCCTTCTACCGCGAGTCTAAAACACTCTTCGCACAATGCCTGAAGTGTAGCCATGACGCCCCTTCTCCTTCGTGACGGTCGATCATGTCACGTCGTGAGTTTTTGAGAAGTGCCCTGCTTTTGTTCTGCGCAGCACGGGTGCGAGCTCCCGAAAGATGTGACGTGTAATGGGGGGGTGGGTGGGGTGAAGATCAGACTTGCAGTGTTTGGTGCATCAGGTCGGAGGGAGGGGCGGCAGCCCCCGCAGAAACGCAGGCAAAGTTTGCCCTGCGATGCTGCGATTCTGGGGTCGTACAGGGCTTTGGGGTCAACAATCTCATGGATTTCTTTCGCCTCAGGGGGATGTTGATCTTTTTTGGTCTTCTCCCTGCAACTGGGAACTAATTCCTGAGTTTGCCCCACCTTCTCCTCTTGGTCGTTGGAAAGTGCAGCTGGTTTTCGCCTCACTTGCCCCACGTGCTCAGTTGGTGGCGGGACAATTCGATGAAGCTTGCCCTACTTGCCCCACTGCCTCCCCGCTTGCCCCCCCCACTTGCTCCACATGCTCCCCGCGCCGATGCCCAATTCATCCTTGAAACTCCGCAGTCAACGTCGTGGCCTCTGATGGGACAGTTGCATGGTGGTTTAGGTTGTGGGAGTCCTTTTTGCCGTGCAATGTAGCCACAGGATGTCAGGCGAAATGGATGCGGAACGCCTGCTCAGAGTCTCGCTCGGAGTTATGGGCTGGTTTTTGACGCCAAACAAAGTGCCCTCAGGAGGACGACCTCAGGAAGGACCCGCCGTAACTATTTGGAAGCTTGAGTGTTGGAAAGGTTGCGGTTCAGCACCTTTCCAAACCTCAAGCCATCACCTGAAATCCCAGTATTCGTGTAGCTGCCGGATCGACCTGCTGAGTCTGCGACGGAGTGGGTGTCCTCCAGCTGCAGCTTCGTACTCCAGCCTTGTCTCTGGCTGGTCCAGCAGCTGCAATATGGTCGGAGGAGCCAGGGTTGACCTTGTCCTGCACCAGATTCTTGATCCCCGGAGAATATAACTTGATTCTCTTTCATCAGTTCACTTGTCTGGATATGCGTGCCCGGCCACCCCGGTCAAAGCAGACCTCCCAGGCTCTTAATATTTGGAGGCGCCCGAGCTATTTTTTTGGCAAGTGTGCGGGTTGGAGCTCGTCATCGTCTGGGTCTGGATGGCTGGCTGGGAACAGCGCTCGAGTAGTCACCTCGTCTGTGTTCGCAGCAGGTGGTGGGGCCACGGCAGCGCGCAGTATCGATGGATGTTGACTAAGAAGTCTGCTGGCTTATTCTCCATACTTGCTGAACGTTTGAATTTGTTCGGCTTTGGAGTGAAAGGCTCGAAGCTACTCTTGCGCGTTTTTTCTTCTCCCCCGCCCTCGTCATTGTTAGATGGGCCTCGAGTGCGCGCCTTTTGACCAGCAGGATCTGGCAGGGGGCAGTTTTAAGAGTAAGCCCCTCGCGCTGCACACAGCTGTGAAGAGCGCATTGTCCTGTGCCTCCTCCAGCAGGCCCCGAAGCGAAAGGCAGAGGCGCTGGCGGAGGCATGGGCACCAAGTGGTTCTCCGAAGAGAATCTACGACTTGTTGACATGTAGACGTTGTTTTCCAATGGCCGAGTTTCGGCTAGGGTTGCCCACCCCCCCCCCCTCCGGCCAAACCCCCAGAAACCTAAAGCACCTTGGCTCCTCAAAGTCCCTGAGCAAAGAAGTCGGACCTTTTACTTTTGACTTCAGGGCGTAGGGCAGTTCATGCTTTCCAAAACTTCTAAACCCCGTAAACTCAATACCCCTGTCACGAAGTGATCGCGAAGGTGCATGGCAGATGTTCTTGTCAGGAAGTGGGCGGGGAAACTCTGAACCCGAATCTTGGGAACAACTCACCCCCAGCCCCCATGCCTGTCCCCTTCAAAACGCAACCCTGAACCCTAAACCCTAAACCCAAAAACCCTAAACCCTGAACCCTAAACCCGAAACCCGAAACCCTAAACCCTAAACCCGAAACCCTAAACCCTAAACCCTAAGCCCTAAACCCTAAACCCCAAACCCACACCCCGGGAGGACACCGAGATGAAGGCCGCCGAGGCCCCGTCCTCGAGCGAGGCCTGGACAGCCAGGGAAGACGAGGACTCGTACTTTCTGTAGTTGAGGCTTATGGGTGTAGGGTTTAGGGTTTAGGGTTTAGGGTTTGAACGGAAAGGGTATTCAGAGTGTGATTTCTGCCACAGATTGGTGCTGCTTGGGGGTCTAAACGCTGCAAACGAGACCTCCGCACTCAAAGTATTCGTCGAGTTGTATGGTCACGGGTTTTAAGGCTTTGCGTGGTTGGGGGCTTGGTCGTTTGGGTTTTCGATGTTCGGTCGTCGGGGTTTCGGGAACAAACGCGTGCGCAGGAGTTCTCGGGTTCTTGGATAATAATAAAGAGGGCCGTGAACAATATTTGTATTATAAGCCCCAATATAAAGATCTTTAAAGAGGCTTGTACTGCTGTAGGCACAAATAATATCAGCGTGCATCATTCATTCGCTTCGCTTGTTCCTTCCTTACCAAACATTATTGCTGTGCTCACTTGATGCTTCTTCCTTGTGTTGCCTCGAGCCTTCAGGATTACATTAGGTTGGCGGTCGGCGGGATGATGTCTCTGGGCTTGGGGGAATATTCAGGGCATGCGCGGAAACCCACCCACAAGCCCGACACACCTCCCGAGTGCCCCCTGCTCCAGGGCAAACCCGCAGAGGGCGAGGCGTGAGGGGCAGATTGGTCTTGCCAGGGGGTCCCCGAAGCCAATCAAGGCGCTGAGCCGTGACAAGCGCAAGGCTCCGAGCAAGCTTCAGACCCTGGAGCTCCCAGAACCAAGAGTGTCCGATAATCATCGCTTCGATTGCTTTTGGCACCCTGCGCCTTCAGAGATACACGTACGCGTGCACGCAGTGATGGCTACCAGCTTCGGTTAGAGCAGGCATCGGACCCCGAAACTCCCAAAAACCCAAGGATGTTTAGAGCCTGGAAGCCCATCCAGGCTGTCCTGGACGGCAGATGGTTGCAGGATCCCAACTTCGTTCAGGAGCCCCAGGGGTGTTTCGTTGGGTTGTGCTCATGGAGTGAGACCTCCCCCCGAGGCCCAAACCCCTCGAGATCCTTAAAGGGCTCTTGGATGTCTGCAGTTCACCTCTTCAATCGAAGAAGAATGCACTAGGCGGGCGCATCCAAGCCCAGAGTCCAGCTTGGCAGCTCTGTCCATTTTGCCAAAGCGGTCCTGGAGTCAAGCAACGTGTTTCCACAAGCTGTGTCATTCCCCAGCCCTGCGACCTTGACATCCTCGCCCTCAACTCCAGATGGGTATTTCCCAAAATCAGGGCCACCCCTTTTTTTTCCCCAAATAGAGTAGAATCCCCACCCCCCCCCCCCCCCCCCCCCCAAAAAAAAAAAGGTAGACCCATGTTCGGAAACCCCCCACCAACTGCTGAAAATGCAGGAGTTGCTCGGGTCGCTGTCCGAGGCTCGGTTGTCAGGCTCGACCACGGAGGCCTCAGGTAGCTCAAGGAACCAAGGTGATTGGACTCGGTCGTCCAACATCCCCCAAACGTTTCGGGGGGCTTGGGCTTTGGGGGTCTAGTAGGTGTGGTGACTTTTTTGTCGGGGCCTTGTTAAGTTGTTGAGTGGTTGTAGTCAGAGGAAGTATCCCTTTACGTCCCTTTTGGATTCGTGCCATCCCGTCTCTACTGAAAGTGCAAAGTCCAAAAGTGGTGGCAGTAGAAGTAGCTGACTGCCACGGCAGCGTACCCAATCCCTCCCCCCAAGTCCTACACAAAGCTCAGTGGAAAGTGCTTGGTCTTCCCGAAGCCTAAATTCCTAAGCCCCCTACACCCTACACCCTAAACCCTAAACTTTCCGGATGGCAGAATGTGCTGAGGCCTGGTGTCGACATTGATGATCCGCGAATTCAGGATGCCTTGAAAGAGGCCTGTGCTGCAGCTGCTTCCACGAAACTCTGGGGTTTAGGGTTTAGGGTTTAGGGTTCAGGGAACCTTGTACACTTTCACGGCGCGAACTCCTGTGACTGGAGACGATTGAGGCGCTGGTCGGTATAGAAGGCGAGTGAAGTCACTAGGTTTGCAGGCCAGGCTTTCGAGTTTAAGGGGCCTTGAAGATGGCATGGCCTGATACTGAAGGTGAGTGGCGGCGCACCGGCGAAGAAGGCCCGGGGCAGCTGCCTGCTGGCCGATCTCTTTGTCATGTTCTTTCTTGGCATTTGTTTAGGGTTTAGGGTTTAGGGTTTAGGGGAAAAAGGGAGCCGGGAATCCCAAACTTGCAGCACCTCGCTACCGACTTGGCTCCCCTTCGGCTCCAATCGCACTTTGTCCAGGCCCGCAAAGCACGCCAAAACCAATCTCAAGATCAAACCCAAGGCCCTTAGCATCCCAAAGCCCGGATCATACAAACCCCAAGCCCAAGGTGCCCAAGCTTTAGAGGGCCGTGGCATTGGGGCCCTGTCAGCATGAGAATGGGGAGTTTTTGCTTGTGCATCCGAGCTCAACTTGGCAGGGTGACTTAGCCTGCGCTTGCTCATGAGGGTGATCATCGGTGATTCTGCTAGGACGAAGGCTCGGACGACAAGAAAGAAGACAAGAAGTAGTGACTGCCCCTTCGTAGCCTCAGATATTCGCAAAGACGCAGCAGGCTTCGCAGAGTAGAATGCACGGCGTACATGCATCAGATTCGCTTCGAAGCCTCACATTGGAGTGTGTAGTGAGCTTGTGTCATGGTCGCCTGAGAATTTAACTTTGGGGATGGACAGAAGAAAGCATACTTCATAGATGACAGGTGCTGTGGATGTCTGCAGTGCCAGATATCGGCTTTAAATACGCTGAACCAACGTGCAGCCGGAATCAGAT